CTACAAATGAATGATACAAATGTATGCTCTTTTTTTTTTTTTTTTTTAATCACTGGATTTTAGCTAAAACCAGTATTTTTTAAGTTTACATGTTGCAAACTTGAATTTTATGTCAAACCAGTAAACTTTTACAAGTTCTCTTTATCTCCGCAGAGCTTTGGTGAACACAACGCAACAGTTAAATATATCTGAAGTAAATGACAGGTTTTAGTTTAACGCAGTGGCACTAACGCGKGCTCACCATGACAGCAGCAATGTCTTCTGGGTTGTCTCCGTCCAGATCGAACTTGAAGGTCACCATCTTGTCGTTGTGCGTCTGCAGCTGACACTCGACCACTCGGTCRGCTTTGTCAGAGAGCTGCGGAAGCAAAAATCAATGATGACGCCTCGCATCAAGCAACACGAGAGGAGCGTGATATTTTAGCAAACAAACTCTCTGCACTTGTTCTGGATGGATGTGAGGCTTGACACAGTAAAACAACAGTCATTAAAATAAAACAGAGCGTCCTGATCTGAAGAATAAAGACGTGTGTTTGTCAGAGGGGAAAAAAAAAACACAAACACACCACTGATAACGTCACAGAGACAGGGTGGAGCGGGACCACAGAGTTGTAAAATAAATGCCTCCGGTAATTAATTAGCTAAATCCAGGCTGATTTATTTGTTGATCTGTGTGAACGCGGGTAAAAAAAAATGCCTGAAGCCGTAAACAATGGATGAGATTTATTGTACCCCTGTGATGCGAAGCCTGGAGCGCGCCCTCCTCCTGAACAGCTTGGCGGCGTTTCGCTTCGCGGCGGATTTCTCGCTCTTCTCCGACAGGCCCTCGTAACCGTCGCTCAGACCTGAGGTCACATCGGAGGCGTAGCTGGAAGAAAACAAAACAAARGTAAAAACGACAGACTGCATGTGAGAACCTTGTTGAAAAAACTATTTACATCAGCTCGTCATTCATAAAGTGGGAAATAAATTGTATTTATATTTAAACATTGAAAGGATGCATCATATGTGTACTGTTTATACATTGCGCATGTTTAACATTTCAAAAAACCTCAGCTTTTAAAGACAAAAAAACAAAAAAAAAACAAAGAAGTAGCTTTGGCTCATATAATTGTATCTCCTGGGTCTTTTAGATCACAGTAGTTACAGACGCCACCCGCCTCCCCAACGCAGGCTGCTAACATTTACAGCCTACTGCTTGGCAGTGTCCACCTGGCTGTCTCTGTTTAACACATTCACACATACACATACATTCTTGTACTTACATCATACTGAGGACTTTGTATTGACTTCCATTCATTTTTGCCACTGCATTTATATCTAACCCAGACATTTTCCCTAACCCTAACTATTACTGATCTATTTCTAACCCTAACCTGAACTAAAACCTCATTCACACCATYCCTCTAAACCTAACGAGGACAGCGCAGTAGAGCTGCAAAAAAACTAAAGACAGGGAAAATGTCCTCACTTTCCCAAAATGACCTCACTTTGTTGGTTAAAAACACATGATGGTCCTCACTCTGTAGCAGAAACAAGTTTACACACCCACTTCCCGACAGCTCAAAGCCTGTTTTCACCTTCAAACACATGGAAATTAAACAGAACTAGAGAAAACGCAAGCGTGGCTGTTGAGCTCTAACAGACTTCTCTGAGGAACCTAAAACTTAAAKCCCATCTTCATCTTCTGCCGGGGTCGCAGAGGAAACAGGTACCCAGACGTCCCTCTCCCCAGAGACACTTTCCAGCTCATCCTGGGGGGACCCCGAGGCGTTCCCAGGCCAGAGAGGATACATAATCAGAATGTGATTTAATGACCAAGTATTTTTACGTACAAGGAATTTGACATGGTGTTGTCGAGGTGCAGAACATWCAACAGAAACAAAAAAATCTAAAACAAAAGTACAAGGTTTAAAAATAAAAAATGTAAGATATGAAATATAAAGAAGTGGAACAACAAGAAAAAATAAGTTTGAGAATATAGAAGCTTAACAGAAACTAGCTAAATGATCCCTCCAGTGAGCCCTGGGTGACTGGAACACCTCTAAAGAGAGGCGGCCTCCTCATCAGATGAACACCTCAACTGAACCCTTTCAATGCAGAGGAGCAGKGGCTCTACTATGACGGAGCTCCTCATCCTATCTCAGGAACTTAAACTCCTCCACTTGAGGTAAAACTTGAACTTAAAGCAAAAAGAAGGAGGGCAGAATGGCAGCTAAAAGCTAAATGAAGACAACTAARGCGTGGCCGGGCTCAGCCGTAGGAACGGGATGAGGAGCTCCTTAATAGTTGTGGATTTTGAGAGTTTCATTAAAATCTTTCCAAACACACACACAGGTATCGTTTTCTTGTCCCTCCAACATGGAAAGCAGGATCCACGCAACATCTGAGTCACAGTTGAGTGGAAAGCTACAAGGGTCCGATCTGCCTCGCTGCAATAATAACAGCAGAGTTCGCTGGGTGCCCCAAGCTTGTTGTTTCAGCCCCACAGATGTGGAGGAGGAGGAACACAGGAAGACCTCCAGGTCCCTCACTTCACTAAAGAACAGAGGCTTCACTGAGAGTGTAAAATAAAGAGCAACTTTACCTGTCTACAGGTGAGCTGAAGTCGCTTGCAGGTCCTGAATGTCCGCGTTCTGTGTTACTGAGAACTGCGATGCTCTACAAAGACAAATGAGAGAAACGTGAAGGGAAACCTCACAAATTTATTTCAGTTTTTGCTACAAAAACAGTTATTTTCCAAATGATAATGAACTTATTACTTTGCAGATTAATAAATCAATTTTAAAGCATAAATTCATAATTAAAGGACAGAGTTTCTAACTGTTAAATGTTTTTAACTTTTAAATCCTTCTTTTTCACATTCAGATGGGGTCTATAAATTTGGATCTGCTCCTTATTGTAACTCCACAAGCCCCTCTTTTACCCCTTTTCTGAGGTGTGTCTCAGATCAACTCGTTTRGAGGCTGTCTCTTTAAATCCAAAGGAGATGCTTCACACCCCGCCCCCCTTCAGCTTCCAGAGCGGTCCACTCCAGCTTGAATTAGTTTAGACCTACATCCAKTGATTACTTTGAGAGTTTTATTAAAAGCCATCCAATGGTTCATGAGATATTTTGCTAACAAACACACAGAGGCAAAAACAGGATTGCCCTTTCGCCTTCAGAACTTTGCTTTACATAAAATCAAGAGACAAATCATTCCAACCAATGTTACTTTCTGATATGTTAGTATAAATGTTTGTCACATTGTGTGGAGCAGATGCTAACATTTAAAAAAACAGGCATTTTAAAGAGACAACCCTCCTCAAGAAGCTCACCGAAGGGAAGCGCACGGCTGGAAAGGGGAGGCCATTTACTACGGGGGAGCTGGTTTGCGTGTTTGAAGGGGATGCGGGGGAGTTAAAGCTGTTGGCCTCCAGTGGATCCTGAAGTCCGGAGGAACTCTGGTCGCCGTCCGTCTCACAGTCAGCTGTTTCAACAAAAGGCACACAAACTATTAACCAGCTGTGATCTGAACAAAAGAAAAGAGACATTTAAACTCACGGAGACAGATCAAACTGGAGTACGGATAAAATATCTTGGCTGTTGTTTCAGATAAGGACATTTAAAAATCACAGCCCTCGTACACACCATGAGGTAGAACCTACAGGGACTGAATAATTCAGTTATCCACAATATAACATTTACGTTTCTTTCTGATGTGCAGGAACAGTTCAGTGTTCAGTACAGTTGGTWCAGTGAAAACACATCAGGTCCAGTTTTATGCACACTAACGTTGTTAAATGTAAATAATGGTATCTTCTTACTGTGACACTTCCGCAAAAAAAGGTAAGTTTATCTACAAACCAGTCTGCTTTTGTATTTATACAAAACTTAGAAGTGCAAAAGGGCATTGTGAGTAATATGTTTTGGCTACTGTGAAGTTTTGAACGTTTCTTTCCAAACTGAAAGAGTTTGAGGGCGAGATATTTCAGTCTGGTCTGGTTTGAGACACATTAAAGTGCCTGACATCAAATTTTTGTAATAATTATGAATGCATTTTTGGAAAGATAACATAGATGACAGATAAATTACACGCCACTGAGATGAACAGTTGTTGAGATATTCGCATGTGAAGTAACAAGAAGTGATGTTAATAAACAAAGACCAGGGAGGTCTCTTTCTTAAAAAGAGTTCTCCTTTGATGTCACTTCCTGTTTCACCTTGGTTGAGCCAAATTCAAAATAAAACCAGCCATTTATGTGACAAAATGAGTAAAATAGTATGTATTGTTATATTATTATAATGTTTCTTGAATTTAAGATGTTTTCTTTGAGTTTTTGTATTTGAAGTATATGCATGTCATAGGTATGGAGGACCAAAACTGACATTACAATTTAAAGTAAAAGATATATAAATGTCCCAATAAATAAATAAATACATTTAAAATGCACCAATTAATTTTGAAAAGGAGAATTTTATCTCATGTTTTATAATTTAATTGACTTTCATGTGTATTTTTTCAGCTTAGTTCCAACAAATTATATATTTTAGCACATAATTAAATTTTACTTTTTTTTTTATAAATATATATGTTTAGTTTTTCTTTACTCATAAATGCCTTTCTGTCTCTTAATTTTCTTTGTAATTGTTTTTTTCCAACAAGTCTTTTTTATTTCCATGTGTTTTTTACTTTTTTTCTGTCTCCTGGTTTTATTTTACCTTACACATTTCAGCCTCGTCATGCAAATAAGGTAGGCTGCCCTTCTTGGGTCAGCGCCACTACTTTTGGTTAATAAACAGGAAGGAGGAGGATCCATGTGGAGACTAATTGTGCATGAAGAACAGAAAAATATAAAAACAACACACGGAAATAAAAAGACACAAATCATTTTCAAGAACTGATCACTAGTTGCTAAATTTTAATTGTATTAATTTTTTTATTGGGCCATTTATATATTTCTGCTTTTATTTTTAATTACGTCAGTGTTGGCCCTCCGTACATAGGCACTTTAAGGAGCTCACAGTTAGCTGAAGACAGGCTGTTGTAGCGGACGTGGAAGTGCTGATCCACCTCGGGCTCCTCCGGCTCTGCGGGGTAGCTGGAGCTGACGCCGGAGTCTGCAGAGCTGGTGATGGGGGACGTCATGGAGGCCAAGGGCGTCAGGGCCGGGGTGGGGGACCTGGCTGTGATGACATCGCTGACTTTGGGCGAAGGCGACTGAGGCTCCGGCTCTTCCTCGATCGCCTCTCGTGCCTGCTTCCTCTTCCGCTCCGCCTGCCGCTGCAGCTTCTCCCTCTGCCTCTTGATGGTCGTCACCCTGTCTCGTATGGCCTTGGCCACGATCTTAAAGTCCGCCTCGCACACGAAGCCAAGCACGACCTGGAAAAACCGGAGAAGCCGGGGTTTGTAAACAGGTTTTTGTGTTGATGCGGAACATTTATGCAGGCCTGCTGACCTGACTAGACAAGTAGTGGCATTTGCTTCATAACAACACATCTGAGCTGCATCCTTCAGGTCATTTCAGTGTCTCCAGTTGCCTCCTGGGACAACCGGCACTCTGCCCCTCAACACTTTGTCAGATTACATCCGATTGGCCGGACTAGATGTCCCTCACTGATACCAAATTTGATCTTGATGAAATCTCCGACAAAGACGTAAACAGTGGCGGTTTCATTAAAAGTGACCTCTACTGGGGAAACAAGGGGCAAGTTTGAGGACATAAAGACCCGTTTCTTAGAAAGCATGAGAGGTATGATATTAAAGACGTGGGCAGCTTCCTGAGATGTCCTCTCACATTTCCAGCCAGTGGTGATTAAATGTTGAGCCGTGACCTTGACACGTACTCTGCAACGTGCTTTCACATGCCATTAGAAATCAGAAACAGAAGCATAATCGCATAGAGATGTTTTATCAGTGAGGTTTGACGTTTTGAAGTTAAGAGTCATACATTCGGAGCAAAAAATAAAGATCTAATATTCTGAATTTACAAATATCTCCTGCTAAAGACCCAGAGAACAAAAACTGACTGAAAAAGGTTGAGTGGTTGCATTGCCATTTCTTTAAAGCGTCTGGTTTTATAAAGCTAAAAACCATCAGAGGTCAAGGAGAACCCGTAAAAATCCATCATCATTGATCAAGACTTTGGTATCTGCTCTGATCTCAATTCAGTTTTTCAGTTTCCTCAAACGTTGGCCACTTCATCGGTTCTCCTACCATCTCCTGAGCCACCTCCTCGGGCACGTCTTTGTAGAGCTCGAAGAGGAACTCTATGGCATTGTTGTCCTTGTACTTCCCGTGGAGCTTCTTGGTGTCGTCCATGCGCAGCCACAGCTTCAGGTCCGGCTTCACCATGTCGTCCTCCTCCGCCAGCTCCACGTGCACGCCGTTGTTCTCCTGGAAGAACGGGTGATCCAGGAGGTCCTGAATGGTATACCTGCAGCGAAGAGGAGAGAAAATCAATCACACACCTTAGTTTATTATCAGGATGACTTCAGGTTTGAGAAAGTTTTACTTTGGGTATTTTTTCATACCTTTCATCTTTGTTCATACGAATGCAGCCCTCGATGATCTCTTTGAGTTCTGGGACTTTTACTTTGTAGAAACTGTCGGGTTTAATGCCCTAAAAAGACAGAAAAAACAAAACAAGTTTCATTATATCTGTTTTTAAAAGGTTTAAGAAAAAAAGTAATTAAAAAAGCTTGAATTCTATCTTTTAGCTAATATTTTTTTTGCTCCTTTTATCTTTAGCCAACATTCTAACACTGCTACCTTTAGCTTGTAGTTATGTACATTCCTCTGTTTTTTTATAGTTGCCTTTTGATATACCAAGGTCTTAATGATTAATTCTGATTTTTGGAGAAAACAAACAAACAAACAAAAAAGATTTTTTGGCGTAAAAGTTTCATATTACATTTTAAATGTGCCCTCCATCAGACTCCAGTGTGACCTCTACACGACACTGATGTGACCCYCATGCACAGAAAAAGACGTGACGTCTCATTCAGCTGTCTGTTTACAGAGTTAGCTAAACATGCTACTTGTAGTATATCGATTCTGACGTTGCTGTTCATTCAGAGKTGATTAAATAATTGTCTGACATGTTTAGTTCAGTGTTTACATCTGAACCTGCTTCTGACCATATGCTCTGGTGAAGCGTTTTATTTTCGGAGTGAATTGCTTGAAGTAAAGTATTGACCTTTAGGATTGATACGGTTTGCGACCAAAGTTGGACGTTACCATCATATGTTTCTGAGGATTCCCAGTCATCCAGGACATAGAAAATGCAAAGGAAATAGACGAAGGAACTGGACTTCAGTTTTGTAGCTGTAGATGTGTGGAGCAGATTTAAACAGCGTGACTCGAGGTTAGCGTCTTTTTCGATCCTTCACCCCCACCTCATGTGCGTTCAGACTGCAGTCAACATCAGATATGTATCCGATTCAGTAACAAATACTGAAAAAACCTGAGTCGAATTTGAACAAAAWCAGATTTGTTGCGTTCAGACTGTCATAAAAAACATATATGGTTCGCATGGGCAAAAAAATGTATTTGGGTCTCATTTTCCTGCAGTGTGAACGTGGCCCTAGTTAGCCTTTAGCTATTTTTAAAATTGAGCCACTTTTAGGTTCTAGTTACATTCTATTTTAGCTTTCAGTTAGCCTTTGGTACATTTAGCTTGTAAAGAATCTCATTTTAGATGTTTTTTTTAATTTATTTTTAGCTAAGCTTTTGCTGTTTTTATCTTTTAGTTAATCTAACATTTTGCTAGCTTGTAGCTACCATACAGTGATTTGTATAGCATTTTGATATGCCTAACTATCCGTTAGCTACTTTTATAATTAAGACACTTTTAACTTTTAGTTAACTTACCATTCTACTTTAGCTTTTAGTTAGCCTTTGGTAAGTTTAGCTTATAGAAAACCTTATTTTGGTTAGCTTTTCTCTTTTTTTAGCTAAGCTTTTGTTGCCTTTAAATATCCTTTCACGCTTTAGCCTTTAATTAGTATTTTGCTACTTTTAGCTTTAGAAACCACTGCTTTTTTTACATTTTGTTAAGTTTTTTTCTATATGCGCTAGTATCTGATACTGTTTTAGCTTTTAGCTCGTGTTTTAATTCCTTGAATTATATTTACACAGTTTCAGCTTTATTGACCATTTTTATGTAATTTTCTCTATTTAAGATAATATTTTTTGCATAAAGTTGCCTGAATGCTATCAGGTGAATGAAGATAAAACAGAGTTTGAAACCCTGTAAAAACAATGATAAGACAGGAAAACGGTGAGGTCAAAAAGACGCACGACCCAAAGATACGAAAACATCCGGAAGATGTTGGGTGAAACACCCAAACATAACTCTTCGTTTTTTTTCATACCAGCAGAAGGTTGAGAGAGCTGCATTTTGTTATCACACCTAAACACTAACACTCTCACAGTATCTGCTGCTGTTTTATCACCTCAAATAGTTTATCAAGATATTCCTGGCTTCCTGTTTGAAGGAGACAAAAAAAAAAGAATCTTTGAGGGAACACAGAGGGAAAGACAATGACCTTTTTTGGGGGGGTGGGTGAACTTAAAATGTATTTTTGACTTGTACTAACTGTTACATAAGCCTTTCAACCTACGTCCAAGACAGCAAAAATAAATGCTGAGTCAGCACTCACATCTTTCTGTACAAATTGCTCCTGAATACTTTGTTTTCTTAGACATTATTTTTTCATTTCAATTGCGAATAGTGTGCTAGGACTATTATTTTTTATGTTTCAAAAGATGTAACTTCATTTAGGATAAATTCCCCATAGAAATACATATTTTTCATTAATTAAATTTAATTTAAGAAATTGTCCAAAGTCAGTCCCCCTTGAGGACTGACTGACTTTGGACACCACTAAGCTACAATTAAAGCCATTTTTTAGGAGATGAAATGCTTATTTAGGCTTCTGTTTTGCTACTTTTAGTTTAAGCATCTGTATTGATAACTGTAGTTTTTATCATTTTGCTACTTATTGTTTACAGTGATCAAATTTTATTAATTTAAGCTGCTATTTTGTTAACTGTAGCTTTAGCATTTTTGTTGATACTTGCATTTTTTTTTATCATTTTGCTACCTAAGCTTACAGCTATACTGCTTTGGTCATTTTAGCTACAGTTTAGCTCCTTTTAGCCACTATTTTACTATTTTTAGCTTTAGCGTCTGTTTTGTTGCTTTTAACTTCAATTTAATTTCAGCTTCTTCAGCAAAGACTTTCAGCCCTCAGCATTCACACTACKTTTTTGAAGAAGATTCTAATTTCTTTTGCGAAATTAGTGTCCATTAGCCATTATTTCTTAGAAGGGTGGAGACAAATAAAGATCACCCCAAAATACATGAATTAGTTTAATTAGTAAAAAGTGTTCTGCTGCACCTAAGCCTGTCACAATAACAAATTTTACTGGATGATAAATTGCCTCAGAAATTATTGTGATAAACGATAATACTGTTGAGACCAGTTTAAACTAATATAATGATATAACCCCCCGTTTATGGAAGTTTACAATAAAATTTACATAGTGTAAAAAAGAAAAAACAACTCTCAGTAATCCCAAGGTTTGGCACGGTGCCCTGAGGGCATCCTGAGGTGTTGCCAGCTGTATGAAGGCGTCAGAAAACTGAAGACGCTCCTCTGAATAAATGTCTGTTCACGGGCTCTCATACTACAGAGGTTAGAGACCATGRGCCTCGCAAAGGGAGACACGAAMAAAACAAACAAGCAGGCAARTGAAAATTATTGTTCTCATTTTAATTTATCTTCCTCATTTTATCATACGATTAATTGATTTATTGTTTACTGCGACAGGTCTAGTTGCACCGCATCTGGGCTTCTCTTTYAAGCCGTTTGCTCCAGCGTCGTATGAAGAACGACTGAAAATAAATCAGTTCTTAATRGATCCAGATCTAATTTGTGACTCTGCTCCTTTCCTGCAGCGATGAAGGTTTAGATCAGGTCCAGAGAAAAATGTTGGTGTCATATCAACTGTACAATTGTTTTCATCTGGACATCCTCAAGTAAAATGGACTATTTATTTAGATAAATACGACAGRATGGAATCCGTATCGTCCTGTTTCCAGTGGCTCAACTCGGCCCTTCTCGGGTCGACTTGGTGCAGCTTTAGAATCTTCCACTGGGTGATCCCAGCTGCTTCCAGCTCAGTTCTTAGAACCTCATCGGCTGATTGGTCAAACAGCGATATCAATCACGAGCATATCCTTTTAAAATCTCTTAACCACTTCTGCAAGACCCTTTACCACATCAAAACCCTTTGGAATAAACACGAACGTCAAACCGGACCTTATCATTCAAAATGGAGATGGACCTTTACTGTAAACAGGAGGCACATTCCCGTAAAGCCTCCTCAGAAGAGGGGAGGATGTAGAGGCAAATTAATGACCCAGAATAAGATTTTTATCAGCCYCATTTGAATGAAACGTCCAAGAATGTACACAAATTTTCACGTAGTACAAATAAAAACACGTCTTACTTCCAGTTAAAYAACCTTCTGCCAAGGTCAAGGCCCCCCTGATCTCTGATTTCAAACAGAGTGATTCAGAAAAACATTTTAAGTTTTTCCCTTTCGTGCTCCACCTCTTCTCCAAATTTAATTTTGCCTGGTTGGAAACAAACAAACAATCTGAGGCGAACACACACACCTGCGTCTCAGCTCTTTTGGCTGGAGGTTCTGAAAACTTTTTACGAACGAGTTCAATGAGGGAATCTTGTTTGTTGTTTCTGTCGAGCTTTATTTCTCACTAAAAGCCTCTTTGACATAAATTGCTTCAAACAGAAGTCAGCCACTTCAGRAGGAGGGTAAACAGTTTGCAGGTTAGGGGTTAATATTGTGAAAAATGTAAATAACATGAAAATGAACCACTGCGTTGTTTGTTTTTCATATAAACACAAATAACTAATGAAATACACTCGAGTTTTGCGATGAAGCCACTTATTGGCATTGTCACGTCTCAGTTTTCAGCTTCCATCAGACACTGTTTACTTTGTGTTTGAGACACAGGAAAGAAACAGCCCTCTCTGTAAAGTGAAAAAGTGAGACACTGTTTCCAAAACATATAATTCAGCCGTCGCCCGCTCRGACCCACGGCAGCCTCATTGCTTCACTAAGTACACAGGAAAGGCCTGAAAAACAGCCGCTCAAAACCTCCTACCTGTACGTTTTTTAAGAAATCTAATTTGTCCTGAATGAAGCTTCTCTTTCGTGCTGGGCTGAGTCAGATTATTTCAATGTTACGCGTTAAAACATGTTTTCTCCAAAGCTTTCGTACGACGGGTTTCTGGTCATGCTCTGACGCAGAGACAGTTCGGTTCGAAATGACACACAAAGAGCAGGTTAAACAGGATCTTTAGACGGTAAAGAGTAAATCAGGTGTCCGGTTGTGCCGGGGTTCTCCCCCTTCAACTCACGCTGGTGACTTTGCGGTAGATCTGGGCGGCGTTTTGGCACTCGTAGTACGGGTACTCYGAGGTGGCCATCTCCAGGATGCACATCCCCAAGGCGTAGACGTCCACGGCTTCGTCGTACTTCTCCTCGTACATCTCCGGCGCCATGAACTCTGGTGTTCCTGTCGACATTTAGCGGGCAAGAAGAGTCGAGTTAGTTATTATTATTATTATTATTATTATTATTACTATTATACAAAGACCCTTAAGAACACATAAGTGACTAAATTTTAACTTTAATTTAAAATGTTTAAATATTTATTTATATATATTTTTGATTTCTCTAGACCAGTGGTTCTCAATTATTTCCTGTTACAAGGGAACTTAAATTTGTTCACGCATCCCATTATTGAAATTAGGGATGCATTAAATTTTCAGCCGATATCCGATAATAATATTGTTTAACAACCGATATAACACAAACACACAAATGACATAAATACCAACTATCTCCCTTACCAAAGCAGAAATGGCAACGAGCGGGAAATCAGTATCGGTTGTTAATATCAGTCCAGTTTTACTTATTGGAGCGATACCGATACGCGAAAAAAATAACCAACATCGGCCGATACCGATGTTAATGTTAATATGTATTGTGCATCCTTAATTGAAATATTATTACGAACCTGATATTATTTAATTATTTATCTGTACTAACTACTGCATGACTTTCTGGCACCAGCATTCTGTTCATCACCTGAAGTATTGTTAACTTTTACATTTAAAATTAATGCTTTAACGCAGCAAATAAACTAATCTAAAATGTATCTTTACATTAAATAAATAAAAAAACAAGATTTTTTTACTACAACATACACTCACCGGCCACTTTATTAG